GCACGCACGCACGCACGCAGGCAGGCAGGCAGGCAGGCAGGCAGGCAGGCAGGCAGGCAGGCAGGCAGGCAGGCAGGCAGGCAGGCAGGCAGGCAGGCAGGCAGAGACAGGCACAAACAAACACAACACAGCACTGATAAACATGTAGTAATCACTCTTAGCTAATTCATTACTTGGTGATTGCTTGATTGCTAGTCCAAATTCTGTTTGCACTCCCTTAGCTCCCCGCCCAGCAGCACTGCATCAGCTTGCACAGGATCTCCGGACACTCCTCCGGCACCTGACGCAAGGGCATAGGATGAAGAATCGAGTTGATGGCTATGGAGTTCGTGGCGAACGCAAGATTTCGTTTCTTTCGCCTCTCCTCCGACTCTGACTTTTCGAGGCCCCGGCTGAGGCCAGGTCAGGACCTCAAGCTGTGCGAAGAAAGAACTCTGCACGATCGCCGTATGCTCGGAACGACTTTGGACTTTGAAAGAACGTGTCAGAGGCCGCTGACCACCGTGCACAACAGCGGCATAACTACAGTAAGCACAAAGAGCTATGGTCGACCATCACCAAAAGTAACATTAGAATCATCCAACTAGTCATCATCATCTTATATCATAATCATAATGAAGAGGATCATAGTCGTGGTCATATTCACCATAGTCATAACCAAGCGTAGCCACCGCAAATAAAAGCCAACGTAACCATAGAAGGTATCGTCTACGACAGAAAGGTACCTCTAGAATCCTTACAGGGTTTGTATATATACATTTGTATATTGGTGTATATATTAGATTATCATATTATATTATATATAATACACAAATAAATATAAACATATACATATGTGATCCTTACGGTTTTTAGGGCAGCCCTCCAACTCAGGAGCTGGCGGCAGCCTTTCACGGCCAGGCGGCCAATGTCTGCTGGGTTCTGGTCCTGAACAGAAGAAGTAGAAAGCGCCCTAAACTCCCTGTCTGTGCACTTATAAGTTTTGTGAAATGAAATCGATGAGGCCTCGAAGGGAATCTCTTGGCAAATGACCCTGTCATCCGAAGGAGCAGTCATACGGTGCGGGAGTGGTCACAGTCAATGGAGAGAGGCAGCATCCCTGCTATCCCACAGAGACAATACTTGCCGCAATAATGCTGAGGGCACTCAAACAGGATCATGGCGTAGGAGTAAAGATCCACCTTGCAGACTTGCAGGGCATTGACAGGCATGGAGCGGCATGGCAGCTGCCTCAGGACTGCAGCCTTGCCTTCTCGTCATAGGTATGGCTCACAAAGACTTCCGGAGCCATCCAGTGGCAAGTTCCTCCCCAAATCGGAAACTTCCTCTTCCCTGCAGCTAAGACCGCTAAGATAAGAGCCACAACTCGTGCCCCACTGTGTGCCTGCTGCTCGGGTCATCTTTCCCCAGCTGGAGTCGGGTGCCTGCGCTTGGACTTTTGGGACTGTAGTCCCGGAAGAGTCGAGTCAAAAAGCTTTGCCTGCCACTTGATGCGTGCCAGCCCAAAGTCCGAGACCTTCGTCAGAAGCGAACCACTCAACAAGAGTATTGTAAGAAGGCCACTCATAAAAAGCACCCCGGACACACCCCGCCAACAGCAAGAACAGAAAACTACAATCACGAAAACATGGAGCTATCTACATATATGCACAAGCCGGCACCCTGTCGTGATTTTGCAATCGCTCAACAACAACACTGGTAGTTGGCAACGCGGGGTGTTCGTTCAACGAACTGTGCAGCTTGTTATACGGGGGCTTGGCTCTTTGAAGTAGTGCGGCGGCGCCGAACTTTGATGGGTGTTGCAACTGGTTACAGGGTCGGGTCTCTGACTGATGAGCTGGTGTTAGGGAACGCTGGACCGGCACAATCAACTCGAACGGGCTCTAGAGCTTGTGTGAAGGCGGGTAAATTTCTTTTTAAAACTTCAAAAACACCGGTACCATGTGGTCAGCTCGTTCCAACACCAGCCTCTTTACCTTTGAGCCTTTGACGTCCTCATTCTACGCAAGTGCTTGAATACACGCTCAAGCACCTCGCAAAAAATCAGGAGCGCGTTCTGCACCCAACATGCGATTGCTTACAGCTCGGGGATTCCCTGACACTCAAAGCCAGCTCAAAACAGTATGTACTGCAAATTATCCAACACCCTTCTCACTGAAGAATCCTGCTGGCCACCCATATAGCCAACTTCACAAAGCCCAGAACATCAAACAGTACCTCCAAACTACGCTCATGCCCATCGCATCACCAGCTCTCACACCAAGAATCAACCTAGCGCAAACATCTTGCCGACCAGCTTTAATTTGTGTTGTTCGGATCCTAGAAGCCATGCTGCTTGCTCCGCTGCTGGTAGCAACACCGGAACCTTGTGGACTGCCACTACTCTACTGATGCTGCCTTTCTGAACCTGCCCCTGATGCTACCACCAGCACCAGGACTTCGACAACGCCACAGAGACACAGAGACAGACACACACCCACACACACCCACCCACCCACACACACACACACAAACACACACCCACGACTGCGACGAGGACTTGGACTTGGACCGCTTGGGAGCCCAACCTTGATGAAGGGCGCATCCTCCTGGCTCTTCACGGGGCTGCTGAGCAGCAGATTCAGGGACTTCAGGTCCTGAGGACTGGAATTTGCATGAGCGTGTTCTGCAGCAAGCCGTGAGCAACTACTACTTCGCAATGTCTTCGTTTGAGGCAAGCTATTCAGAACGTATTTACGGGTGTTTTTTTTGGTCTGGTTCTTCGGTTCAGAGCCGAGGCAACGACCCGGTGGATCACCTGCGGGTTGAACCTGGGACGCTAGGCCACTGCTCGTCGAGGGGCGTTGTCTCAAGTGCTCAGTGCTCCTGTGAGATGAGGTGCCCGCTCATGTAGATACTTCATCGCTTTTGCGACATGTATGCAGATCCGCAGCTTCTGGGACCTGCCGACATGGAGCCGCGTTGGACCACATGTCAGGCGTGTCAGAAGTCTGTCCAATGTCTCGGCCCGGCACCAGGAGAGAAGAAGCCTGGGTCAGAAGAGGACCCAAGGCCACGGAGAAGTTTTCTCGGCACCCCTGAGGCCAGGGCTCCTGGTTGTGGAGCAAGGAAAAGACGCAGCCTCCCGCGCAGAACCTGCACAAGGAGTTGAAACCGTCCGTTGGGCACAACGTCCGACAAAATGAAGGCAGTTGTTTGGGCTGTGGCTCGGTGATGATCCGGAAAGGCCTGTGCCCCGTGTCTGTTTTTAGGACGGCTTTGCAAGGCGGCAGCAACAATGTCGTGGGTCCTCTCGCCTTTCAATTGACGAGATTCCCAGGAATTGGACAAGGTTTTCATGACACGTCCTGGCAGCTCGGGTGCGAGATGTGGAAGCTGCGCTAAGAAGCAATTGGGGCCTCATGAGAACCGCAACTTCGCGCTCAAACGCACGCTGTTCCTTCAAGGCGGAAACTACCACAATCGGGTGCCCATCGGTGTCCATGCCGCCAGAGCCCACCTGTTCCCCCGAGCTGGACTTGTCCCAATCAATCTGCTTGACAGCGACCTGTTCGGCGCGGGAAGAGCTGAACAAAAAACCAGGCAAAGCGCCATCAGCTCCTCCTTCTCACCGGCCGGGACCTTTTCTAATCTTCTTTGTCCAACTTCGACTTTGAGGCCAACTTTGGGCGCTCAGCGATTTCAGCGGCACGAGCTTCGCGTTGTCGGATAATCAACATCAACTGCGTCTTGGCGAAGAGCCAGATGACGAAAGCAGCTAGAAAACGCCACATCCTGGGGTTACTCACTGTGAGGAGCAGGTAGCTGGCTCCCTTCAGGCCGTAGGAGTAGCCAACTAGATTTGCGATGATGAGCATCTGTATGTTGCAGGCACCTCCAAAAGCTCTCATGTGCCGGGCCGCTGTTGGATGGCCGTCAAGCCAGGCCTACAGGGATCGATGGAAGTTGAGGCTTGTTGGGAAGGCTATCGGGTCCCGCCTTGCAGCGAGGCAAACTGCACAGGCGTTCGGCTGCGAGCTCCGGGACCACGAACAGGGCCAAAAGCCAGCCCCAGACCTGCCAAAGAAAGAACCGCGGCAGAACCCGTCGCCCTAATCTCGATTTTATTCCATTACGTTACATTTCTGCGAAATCAGATTGTCATATATCAGAACCCTGCCTTTTGCGTGTACACTATGATCACCGCGATTTAAAGGAAGAAGGCCATCATGCCCCATTGTAGTCCACTATAATCACAATCTCCGTTTACTGAGATCTAAGCATGAAGCGGTAATAGCTGGCCAGAATGGTCACTTAATACATATAGTTTAAGTTGACTGGTCTCCGTGATGCCTGACCCAAGTTGGAGGCAGGGCTAGCCATACAGTACAGTATGAAATAGTAGAATAGAATAATGCAACATGCAATGGTATGATATGTTATTAAATACGACGCGCTATGTCGTGATCTGATAAGCCATGTCAAACCGGGTTTCAAACGTAAGATACACTGAAAGTATAACAATAAGAACAGCACCAAAGTCTTACAACGTATTTCAATACAAAACACTACTCAGAATGCAATCTAGTGCAGTCCGGAAGCGAGCAATCGCTGTTCCTCTCGGAGCAGGTGCAGCAAGGTAGGTTCGTGCCAGATTGCCACGAAGGTAAAGACCAAGGCGGTGCTTCCAAGCTGACGCAAGAAAGATCCTGATCCTCCAAGAGGCACGTACACGTAACGAACCAGCCATCGGTTGAAGGATCGATGCCAGCCTCGCCAGAAATCTCTAACCGAGTAATTGTTGCACATGCACCTTTCCATGTTCTCCATCGCTGCCACGCCATCACTTATAGCCCAACCTCTTGCAAAGCGCCAAATCACCAGAAACTTGAACCAAAGGCCTTTCAGGGACCAGAAGGAAAACCAGATCATGGTCTCACCATCCAAGCCGAAATTCAGGAGGTTATCGAACATCACGGCCTTGTTGTCTCGGATGCTTGTCAGCGGCCCATTGACTGCCAAGGCCGAGGTGTACAGGAAGTGCCCAAAAGCGATGAAAAGGAAGGTGTCAAGCAGCCAGCGGAGCCAGTACCTCGCCAAGGCCCACCCTTGAAATTCCACTTGAGGCTGCTCTATGTAAGATGCGAAAGCATTGAAGGAGATGATGGGACCTGTCATATACAGTGGTGGGTAGAGCAGGTATGCCGCATACAGGGACAAGCTCTTATACTCCTGCAACGGTCGACTGGCATCCGCGCGATGTTTGTGGTCGGAACCACTGGTGTTGCTTTCAAGCCCCGTGCTCGCGGGCGTGCCCGTCTTGGCCGCGTCCAGGCTACGAGAAAAGTCCACCGTCCAGCTGATGCAGCGTAAGACCCAAAAGCGTAGGACGCTAAACCAGGACAGCTCTCCCTGGAAGCGGTCCATCCAACGGCCCCAGGCTTGCAGCTTTCTGCCGCCCAGAGACCGGGAGAGCGTCTCGAGACTCAGCTCCCGACCGGCGGCCGCCAAGGCCAGGATACCAAGCAGCCAACTGCACGGGACCAGCAAGGCCCGGCCCAGTCGCCCCCCAGAGACCAGACATCGGGAGATCGCATAATTCAGCAGCGCGTAAGACAGAGGCTGGAGGATGGTGAACTCGTGAAGAAAGCAGACGTAGCCGGCACCAAGGAGAAGAGTTCCGGCGAACTCCAGGTTTTTTGAAGCTCTCGCTAGAAGCGCCTTTAGAAGAAGGTAAAAGACGACGAAGGCCAGGATGCTTGGAAAGTTGGCCACGAGCTCCCGGGTCTGCAAGTCCTTTCGGTCCCAGCGCCTGCCGCCAAAGACTTGATTGAGCCACTTCGTGTCGTCGTAGAGGCCCCAGACTCGGTCTCCATGCACATCGCAAGTGCCAATGCCCACTTCTTGGCAATAGGCATGGTAGGAATTGCTGAGGCGATACACTGAAAGCATGCCCTGAACGTAAAAATAAACCGTGACAGCAATCCAAATGCCGGTCTCCCAGGACCCGATGTTCGAGCCGCCCAGCGCCCAGGACACTGCCAGCACCAGCAGAAACAGGGCCGGTAGGATTAAAGTGAGTAAAGATGAAGCCTCCTCCTCCGCCGGTGCCAGCGGACTGGAGCAGTCCCAGCCATCCCCTTTGGCAGGGATGTGCAGTTCGTGGAACTGGGCCATGCGACCGGTGAAGTCTGGAACCTCTCAGCTCACAGGCACCGACTAAGGTCAAGATGACGACAAGATCAGACTGCAGGAGGTACAGAACCGGAGGTATATGGTGAATCGCTCGACGACCAGATGGGCCAGGATAAAAGGGGCTGGGAGAAACAAAGCCACACAGTGCAGTGCAATGTCATATACGGTAGTGAATTAAGGCAGTGAAAATGCATGTGACTTCTTGCATGACCCACTCATGCAGCTGTGGTGAGATCGTCATGTAGTTATACTCCTGCAGGTGCGGAGTCGTTGTAGCCCAACCACTATGGCGGAACTATGGAGCATTTGTACAGGGATGCGCTCGAACTCCAAAACCCCTTGTCATACCCGAATGTCACTAGTGCGCTGTACTGTCGTGCAGCGAGGCTTGAAACAAAGTCAGGCCGAAAGTATCAAAAGCATCTGTGCAATCCGATGCAGTTGATGCGGGCCTCGAAGGTACGTTGCCGCTTGCCTGGCGGTCCCTCGGGAGCAACAAGGTGCATCACGGCCTCCCAGCAGGACGCGTTTCTTATGCTTGATCTCGTTGTTGGAGCGTTCTTCTTCGACCGACACAGATGACAATTCTTGTCCTACACGTCCTAAATGAGTCAATGATCGACGAGGAAAGGTATGAGAGCCTTGCCACGATACGATCATTCAAGACCCTCCTGACCGAAACACGGCTTCTGTCCCGCGCAAACTTCCGCAACTTGCACGGGCCTTCTCAGACCTAGGAACAAAATAGACTGCGAGGGTGGATGGCCCTGCGAAGCGCAGCAGTTTCTTTGCAGTCTGCGCGTGTATCAGCTGAGGGAACTTTCCTGGACCCACGGTCTTATTCTCCGTTTCCACCACCATGTCGCAATAGCCATCATTCCAAATCATCAAGTTGGCAACACATGCAGGAAAGCATGTCCACAAGCAGCAAACAAACAAAGATAAGCTTCTGCAGCGCTCGACCATGCTGTTGCGATATCCCGAAAGCAGGGCGAATCGAAGTCACTTCCTGTGCATATGAGCCAAACGTTGCAGCGGCAGTCACACAAGTTGTCGTGCAGCGTAGGGCGTGCATACCAGTCCCGCTTGCCAAACTCCACGAGGCACAGGCCTGATATCGACCGTCCAAGATGGCCTGCACCGCAGCTCCAAACTGTATTGCATCCACACACACACACACTAACACTGATCCGGCCAACTTGCCTCGTATACGTGGGCCGTCACCTCAACTCATTGCGGTCATGCTTTCATGCTTCGGCTTGGAGGTTTCCCAAGACTCCAGATCTGCAGCATCTGAGACCCCCGCACCCTGCCCCACGGAGCGCTCCAGAACAATTCGGTCGAATCCGATCTGCGAGGATCCCAGCTCCCGCTCCACCGACTATCGTACAGTACAGTCACATCTACGTACATGTACCTGGTATGTGTGTATATATATGTGTGTGTGTAGGACACATCTGAAGATGTCTTTAAAGCCACCTCCCAGGAGAGGCTTGGCGCCGCAGGCGCTGCGGGCGGTGCCACAAGCATCGCCTCGGAAGAGTTGTTAGGAAGAGAAGAGCAGAGAGGTGCCCAAAGAGGAAAAAAAATGGGGAGGAGGAAGGAGTGAGCCTCAGAACATGGGACCCCGAATAATAAGGAAGCCGGAACGCCTCGCACGGTGCGGGCGGCGCCGCCAGGACCATCAAAGGCACGGCCTCGGTGAGGCTGAGAGAGATTCCGACGGAGCTGGAGAGTCTGAATGGTGGCGGTGCAGCGTACTTGAGTATTAACTGGATGAGTTGTGGTGATGCAATCAAGTAAAGGCTTCTTGATGTGCTTTCATCTAAACAGGTACCCTTCCTCTTTTGGAGGCTCTGGCCATGGGCCCAATTAAGGACCCGGCCATGGGAGCAAAGCCTGAAGGCAAAGCCTGAACGCGACAGGAGGAAAAGGGAAGGGGGAGCCTAGGGGGGGCGGGGCTTGTTTTGGGACAAGTCCGTTCCAGAATCCGCTGAACTACTGAGCCTTCTACGGAGAGAACATGAGGCAGCAGGTCACATGGCTCAAGACGTTTAAAGAAACGAAGCTAGAACATGGACACGCTGAAGCTACGAATCTACGAGCATCAAGGCGGGAGGTTTACCAAATTCAGTCAACATGAACGAAATGACCTCGACTTGAGCCGGCGTTACACGCAAACACTTGCTGCTTCGGCTGCCAATCTCTCCAATTCGGCCCGATTCTCATGGCCGTCCCAGCCGACCTTTTTCGTGGGGCACCTGCCGCTGTGCTGGTAACCTTCGGAAGCCAGCTGCTCAATTCGCTGTGAAACGGTGCCGCGACTCAAGCGGTCACACCGGCAATGTCGGCAATAGCATATGGATACGCCAGCAGCCTGTCGGTCCTCCAGAATTGCTCGAGACGGCTCGGGTGTCCCCATGATGTCGAAATGTCTCGACTTTCCCTGCCTCTTTGGCGGCACTCTCGGTGGCCTGGCAGAGCGAGCCGTGCAGAGCCCTTCAAGCCGACTCAGCGAATCGCCGCCTGGAAGCCAGGTCGGCCGGAACGAAGCCAGCCGCTTGGCTTGGATACCAGCCGCAGGACTGCACGCCCAGTTCTTGCGTCTGATGCTAGGTCGCAGGCTGGCAGTGTGACACGCGGGACATCAGGACCCGCCTTTGCTCTGGCCATGCTCATAGCTTTGGAGTTTGCGCCGAGCTGATCGAAGCGCTTGGACCTCAATACACCGGGGTGTGCTCTGTGCAGGTGAGGCCACTGCCCCATCACCCAAGTTCGCGACGCCACGGACGCGGGAAAATGCAGGGGTGTCCTAAGGCGAGGCTGCATCCGCGTCAGGGCAAGAGCTCAAGCTCAAAGCGATCACGAGAAAGCCCGATGCGCTGAGCGTTGCCGGCTTGAATGGTTGGCCAGCCTGGCCTCAGGTGAAAAGCCCCGGTCCAAGGGTCATTGTCATGAATCGAAGCAAGTGCCTCCACGCACTTCGTCCGCTCCGTCTCATGTCGCAAGCGATCCTGTCCGAAAAGACCGGCCTCCTACAGTAGGCGCTGCTATGTCCGCTTTCACAGGCCTTGAGGCCATGCAGCAGGCGAACGAGAGCCTTCTGCTCAACATCCCTAGCCTGACAAGGTGCGCTCGGGGACCCACGTGATGGGATTTCATTTTGACCGTCATCATCTACACAACGTGCACAGGTCGAAGCTCCTCGCACGTTCCCAAACCCAAGGCCCCTTGTGCCCACACACGCCCATACCATCAACACCCAAATCTTCAAGCAGCGCATGCAGTTAATCTGACATGCGGCACAGTGCTGTTGTCGGAGATTATCGGGAACCTCGCGGCTCCATTCTTGGGACTGGTCGGCACCCGGCCTCGGACGGCCGCCGCGGTGCACAATTGGTCTGCTACCCGGAAATGAACGCTGAGGAATTGACAAAACTCGAAGCCCAAGTGAATGACAAAGGCTGTATCAAAAACCATGTGGAAAGCTAGCAAAACAGTTTGGATAATGTACAGAAAACCGGGTGGAACACTACAACACCGACAACACTTATGGACGTAGCCGCAAAGAAGTCGCTGTACATACGATTAATTCAGTTGAAAGGTCCACTCTGCATGTACGAGACGGCCGTGTCGCTGGGCACCACTGGGTGAGAAGCGTCAGCGGAGTCCGCCCCCGCAGCTTGATGAGGGGCTTCGGGTAGTCCACCTGAGGCAGGGCAGCCGAGGAGAGAGCGAGAGCGCGGGGCGCGGGGAGGGGCGGAGCCTTGGGACCAAGGGCCGCCTCCTGCGCTTCGCGCCGCTCCATCAGGTGCTGTACCTCTCGGGCTCGTCTCTCTTTTGGTCTCCTCAAGGCTCTGGTGCTCTCCAAAAAGTGCTCTGGATAAGGCCGGGGCCCAGCGGCTGTTGGCTGGCGGTGCCGGCGGCTGCGGCGTTCGAGCCGCTGGCCGAGGTGTAGGCACCTGCACACATCCCCCACAGCGAAAGACAGTCGGGCAGAGGAGTTCTAGCCTTTTAAAGACTCGAAACAGTTTGCACTTTGAGGTGGAACGCTGCAGGCTTCGGGATCCACCCTGGGATGCTCTCGAAGGTCTGCGACGGAGATGCTTCAATGCTCTCCTTCCGGTGGTCCGTCTCCCTCCCGCGCTGCCTCCGGCTCACCATCTTTCATCCACGGAGGCACTAGCTCCTCCGTCAGTGTGCTCACAGTACTCAGTGATGTTGGGGCATTCCAATCGCCTTCTGCTTCTGCACTTCCGCTGGATCGCGGGCTGCCTTTCGATGGGGGCCATGGGAGATTTTCAAGCAGATCATCCGTTCCGTCCTGCTGAGTCATGAGGGCCACATCCCGCCTCGCGAACTTCGCCCACACCCCCAAACACACGTAGCAGGAAAGAGGGGGCGGAGGGCGTTTGGGTCCCGGGCGCGATGGTCCGCTCCAGCGCTCGCTGGGTGATCGCCTGACACCGTAGAAGAGCGCCCGACACGGAGGAGCGAGAGCGAAGATCGACTCCGCATGAATCCGCTTCAGAGTCCGAATCTTTCGCTACTTGTAGCCGCTAGAATCCTCCAGCTCGACCTTGCGAAAGACCGTGCAGACTACCTGGCTCTAAGCCACGCGCGTTGCAGGTGATGTGCCCCGTCGAAGCAATTGGGAGAAGCCGCTCGGTCATGCTCCGAGTGTTGAGAAAGGTTCGCAGTCTCTTTTTTCTCCGGAAGTGCTCAGATACTGTATTGCCATCACGCCTTCTCTTATTCAAGACTTTTACATGAGACCATTGCCTTCATGGAGCCAGGAAGGCTGCGATACAGATGCAAGTCTGAACGCAGCAGGATGTCACGGACAGCACCGGGCAGACTGTCACCTCTGCATGTTGGCTGCGGTCGTGGGTCTGCCAGTAGCCGGACATAATGCTTCCGTCTGAATTCCGTTTTGGAGCTCAGCTGGAGTGAAAGAGGTAGCAGAAAGAACACAGAACAAGGCAGCAGCAAAAAAGCCGCTCGAAGCATCAGTTGGTTGCTGAAGTTAATGGCCATGGTTCAACAGCCTGGCAAAAAGAACCACTACAATGGCCAAGCCAACTTACTTTGGGCCAGATCGCGCCTGTTTCGCGGCGAGATCTTGCGAATCAGGTTTGATGGCATTCGCGGTGTGAAGCTGCTTTTCACCTCCCACTCTGAAAAGGCTTATGCCAACGAGCAATCGGGACAGCAGCATCGGCTCGGCACATTCTCGATGCGCTGCAAGATACCCAAATTCTCCTGGCCAGATTGAGACTGAAACTTGCAAGCTCGGAAATGAAAAGGTCCACAACCCACCAACGACGGACAAACCAGAAACGGACAGTCACATGAGCACAAAAAACAAGGATGAAGACCGTTGGTAGTAGGTCGGAGTTCACATTGGCACCCCAGGATCTATGAGGGGTTTACGCCTCCTTGATGCGGTGCTGCGCCCTCCTCAAGCGACAGATCTTTGCAGACATGAGAAAATGCCTCGCACGCGGACCTTCGATTCACTTCGCAGGACGAGACGACCTGTGGCCGCGCCTGCCTCAGGAACATGCGAGCCACCAACAAGTATCGCACCAGACCGGCCGAGTTGCTGTGTCTGGCTTCTCCTCGGTGATTTGGCATAGATGGTCCTTCCCATGAGGCTTTTTTGGATCCAGCATTTCTAGGTCATGTATTGCAACGTCCCTGGAATGCTTCTTTCTGCTTGGCGGTCCTGGCGCTACCTGGATCGGGACCCTGAGAGCTCGTCCAAGCCTTCGGATGAATGCCGAGAAAACAGCCACAGGCCCGGACAATCTCCCTGGGTGCCTGTAGCCTTGTGGCCTGCCGCATCCTGCAGACAAATTGACAAAAGGGGGCCTCTGTTCGGAGACAAGCACATGCAGTGCTGCCTCGCTTGGATTTGAGTCTGCGCTTCCTCAATCTCCTGACGTGGCCCGAGGAGGTTGCAACAGCATGTGAGGAAAAGTAAGTGTTGTGTCCTTCAAAGAGAGTCCCTGTGTTTGTGCGGCTAGCTGCTCCTCGACAAGTCGCGCACTTCATGCAAGACAGCTCAGGTGAAGGAACAACCTTCAGGAGGCGATTCACCCAAAGGGCACGCTGGTACTGCATCTCCTGTCAACCAGATGCACAGCTCTCGGTGCTCGAACTTGCTGTGCCCCATCCCATGCCTCTTCAGCTGTAAGCAGAGGCGTTCCTGCCTCGAAGGGAGCACAGCAGGCCAGCTTGCTTGAACAAAACTGCGAAAGGTCCTAAGCTAGGTCAGACGGCCTGTGAGGCATCATGATCTAGGTGCCGCTCGGAAGACATCTCCTGCCGGAATGCTATGAGCAGGAATGCTATTGAAGCTGCGACAACGTTCCCACAACAGGCCAGGAGTTCTGGACGTGAAGACGAAGCCTGGCAGGCACGTAACACGAGCAGCCACGTCGACGCAGCAGATATGGCCATGCACTTTTGCCGCTGGTTGCAACCAGGCAGCCATGTTGAAAGGCATCAACGTTCGGCTATGCTTGCAAAGTTGCAGAAACGTTTGAGGAATGGGGGCAAGATTCGTTGGGGCTTCCAGGCATCTTCGCCTACAGCGACTGGGCTGTTCTGTCTGTCGAGCCAATCAACATAGTGCATCATTCGAGGGTGCTGGCCTGGCCCCACCTTCCCCGTTCAGTTCATTCCCAAAGCGCGCTTTTCGATCCTCCGCGATGCTACGAGTAGCAGCTCTGCTGCAAGACTTTTGGTAAACTACGCAAAGTCGCAAACCCAAACTGGTTTGTCAGACTTCTCAGCTCTGCGTCACGGCCTCTTGTCGCCTGTTCTGGCCTGAAAAGAAGACCCCTTCGCGACGGCACCCTACACCGGCAGGCATGCCAATTCAACCATGCAAGCGGGCTTGAGAAGTGGCTGCTTTTGCAGTCGCATCCCATGTGCACTGAGGCAGTTCAAAAGTTGCAGTGACACATCGCTGACAGCAGGAAGGCCACCACCTTCGGTGTCAATCACACTATGTCCTGGCGTCCGAGCGCAACAAGGGCTGTTGTGTACGGAGAAACAGCCCGGACTCCGGACTCTCCTGCCTGGTCAGGCTTTGCACGGCTCCTGCATGGAGTGATCACGCATGAGCTTTAGATGGCCTTCAAGCACTGGGCATCACTGGGCACTTGCCGGGCATCTGAACTCGCGCTTCTCCTCGCTCGGCAATCTCTCTGAAGTGACCAGGGTCCAGGTAAATTAAGTCCTGAGAGACACAGATAACAACATCCCTTGCGGCGCCCCAGAGACTGGTTGAGGCGAGTCACATTTAGGCTGGCGGAGGTGGGAGCAGTGGGAGCTTCTGGCCCATTGCTGGACTTCTTCAAGAAGTAGTCATCCGGCCGAGGCATCACCAAACAGGCCGTCGAACGGAACCGGGGAGCAGGAGCGCTACCTGGAGCCTCCCAGTCTCCGCCTGAGCACAGTCAACTTCAAGGACGTGCCCAGCCTCTCTTCGGCTTCCGCGGCTTCCGCTCCTTCCGATTTCGGAGGATCGCTCTTCGCCCGTCGGCTCTCCGCCATACGGACCAGATGCCCAAAGTCGGCCTCGGCCTCCTGCTGAGGCATTGCTGCATGCATGCTGCAGTCAAGTCCAGTCAAAGCGGAGAGGACATGCATCGAGATGCTCCTTGGTCCTTGCCTCGGATCCGCCCGATCGCGTCTGCAGCGGGCGGCGGACGCAATCATGGTCGTTCAAGCAACTGCTAGGACTCTGATGGTCGGATTGGAACGAGCCCTGAACCACAAGATGATGATGCCATCAACGGCATGTCGATTGCAAGTGGTCCTCAACCTGGTCCTTTGGGGGCGACTAACATCACGGCCTCGGAACTCGTCTGGAGATTGAAGGCTGGCGCCTCAGCTGTGCGCCAAAAGCTCAGCTCCGAAGCCATCATAGCAATCTGGCCCTGGCCTCCTCACTCTTCTCCTTCATCGGAGACAAGCCGAACTTGTTCCACCAGGGACCAGAGCTCTGGTCACCTGCGAAAGCTGCGGATTTCGGAGCCTCGGTCCGTCCGCACTTCCCGCCTGACGGTGAGAGCATCCCGCCCGCTGGGCTAGCTCCTGCACAGCTGTGCTTTGTCCACAGAACTGCGCAGACGGCCGCGGGGGCGCGCACAAGACATGGAGCAGAGACGAGTCCTCCGGACTCCGTTTCGACTATGCCAGCTGCAGAGCCATAGGCGATCTCAGCCCTCGCCTGAACAGGTAATTAGACTATGTAGGGCTTCAGATACCTTCGAATTTTCGTTTCAATGCACCTCCTCGACCTCCTCGCGGGATGTTGGCGGGGCTGGCGGCTCAGGAGACGAGCGTACTTCCTCGAGATACGACAGTACGAAGTAACGTCCCCAAAAGCAAACTGCGGCTGCGATGATCGGCTGGCAGCCTTCTGGGACGTGGGGGAGCAAGTCTCCACCAACGTTTCCAGCTGCAAGTCCTCAGGGCCCGCGACCTACAAGCTGACAATGTGCCTCTTGCCAAGGCCCCGATTCAGGGCCTTTGAGCCTTTGAGCCGGGTGGCAGACTGACCTTCGCTCTCCTCAGACTCCTCGTCGCTGTCTCCCTCAGCATGTTGCAGCACGTTCCTTTGCAGAAGAGCGAACTCTTGATGCCATGGCGCGTGGGCCTGAGTTGGATTTGGTCCTCGCGGCTCTGCGCATGGAGAACAGTGTGTTGTCTCTCTCCCTCTATGCTCGGCATCGTCTGCAAGTCTAATTATTGTATGTACGAACTTCAAACCCGACACTGATTAGCACTTGCATCTTTGCCGAGCCATGAATGTTGCGCATTTCCCTGTACTTCGGATGTTGGCCTTCGTGCAGTGAGCCCGGTGAGCCCTTCATCACATGAACTATGGAAATGTGCCCTGTGTGACTGTGTGCAGCGATCCCGCGTCGTGCCGAATGTCCTCGTGCAAATGTGCCTTCCGAGGTGTCATCCGATGCAAGCGCCTCAGAAGGATCTCTATATCTCTACCACGGACACCACTTTGCCCTCAGCATCTCGAGGTCTGAGTCGATTGCGAACAAAGACCTTTCAGACCTCGGCAGAAGCCCGAAGAGGCGCGCGCGCGCGCGCGTTGCGATGCGTCCGGATGCGTGCGGCTGCGGCCTTCTGAGAAGCCGGCTCGGGCTGGAGCTTGGGCTTCGGGGCTTTTCCTCCAAAGCTAGGAGAAATAATGTCACTTCGAAAGCGTTCTGAACAAAACGCCCCGTGCAAAGATACAATTGAGCCATGGAGCGCTTCTTGAAATAGCTGAAAGGGTTCCACCAAACCATCGGCGCGGGACCCTTCCTCGGAGCGAAAAGCATCTCGAAGAGGGGGGATATGAAAAGCATCATGCTGCCGCGGCACTATTTCTCAGTGGGGCTAAGCCTCAGGTCGCAAGGCCAGGCGAGCTTCATGAGCGAGAGCTGCTATGGCCCTGTGCCCGGGCTGGAATGTTCTATCTGCTTCGGCCTGTACAGCCGCACGTGCCCTGATGACGCCATGGAGCATGCACATGCGCTGGCTGGATGCAATATGAACAGTGGGGCAACCACTTGCTCTGCTGCGTTCTCGAGTCGAGCCTGGTGCAATCTCGGAGGAGCTCTCGAGGCGGTACAGTATGAAGGGGCGAAAGTTCGACTTGACATAATATTTATTGAGCACTTCTCGTGATTCAGAAGGGAGGTCAAGGCTTGTCCATCCCTCGTCTAGTCATCAGCTCATGTGTCGAGTTCGTGGCCGTACCCGTGACGTGTACGGACATACAAGTATCATGGGATGGTTGCAAGAGGCCTAGAGCTGGTTCGCATCGCTGAGGGCACAATGCATAGCGTACGAATATCCCGTGGACGCATGCTGTCCCACATAGCTGCATGCGACACATGCTACCAGTACACAAGCGGTGCAATGAGCGGCGGATTCAAGAGCTTTGGCAGCGGGGCCATGCCCGATGTCCGAGAAGCAGCCAAGGTGTTTGGGAATTTGCCAAATCGTGCATTAACGCGTTCCAAGTGCGAAGCGCTCTGAGGCGAAACGGGAACTGGACTTGTGCCAAGACCCGGGACGCAGCGTGCACACTGTAACAGTCCCCCGCTTCAGTGTTGGACGAGCATCATGTCGCCTGAGCGCTCAAGAGTCGCCGCACTCACGTAACTCCGAAGGGTACTTTGCCGGCGGCCATCTGAGGTCGTGGGGCTCGCATGCAGGCTCCCGGTCCCGTGCCGGAAGTACCGGCCTGCCAGTTGAACTTAAGGAAACACGTCTCGGGCCTCGAACCTGGGCGACCGTGGCCTTGGTGGATGCTTTCATCAACCGGTCAGCCGACTGCTGCAAGGGTCGCGAGCGCTTCGGGATTGGCAAAAACCTCCGAGCAACACACAACGAAGAAGGGCAGTAGAAGCTTTCAGCGCTCGATCATCAGGCAAAGGGAGTCGCAGAGGCAGGGACGGTGTTGGCTTCCCTTGCCGCCCGTCCTCACCTGCCAGCGCCAGGAGAGTCACTTCGTTAGACAGGGAGAGACGCATCTTCTCGAAGAACCTGTGAAGCGAACAGGCGCAACGCACTTTTGAACAGACTTCTCCTGCAGGGCACATTCCGCTGAATCAGAAGCCAGCAACGGGAACCTCACATCGTCGGACGTCGGCCGTTCAGGCTGGCCACCTTCGAGTCTTCAGGCTCCGGCGCGTTGGAAGCTTCCCCCACGTCGCTCCTGCATTCTTGCTAACCCTACTGAGCGGAGTTCGTGCCTGACAGCCTTGCAGCTCCCGCTAATTTCGGAGGTGATGCGAAAAGGATGCACTTACTGACTTACTGTCGATAGTAGACTCTGCTACTGTCCCGTCTGGTCTCTCGTGCCTAGCTACACCAGGATGAGGACGGGGTGCTGCAATGGCTGTCGCGATGGGCAATGGCAGCGACAATGCTGAAGTTGGGAGCGACACTCGAGCGACAGTCTAGTAAATGATGAAGATCACGATGACAGGCAGGCTGTCATCGTCTCACGAGGAGGGGGATGGATTCTTGTGAATCGCTGGCTGAAAAGTTCGGTGTCACACACCAGGCACCTCATCGAGTGGGATTGGTTACTGGTTTGATCATCAACGAAGAAGCTTCACGAATGCTGTGAAACTACAATTGCGAGCCTGCTTCACGGTGTCTAGTCTGGTAAGAAAAAAGTGCTTCCCTGGCCTGGCCTTGCAAGCAATGATGGATAAGAGTGGCTGTTGTCTGCCTGCGGTGGGACCATCAAGAGAATTCCCAGAAGCTGTCTTCAATCGCTAGCTTTCTGCACCTTTATGTTCTCAACGGTCTGATCTGCGCGATTCCTTCGCACGTCGTCCTGTGAAGTGCAGCAGGCCCCCCGTTTGACTCCAAAATCCAGAGAGTCCTCAACAAGGTGGGCCGGGGCCGCATAGTCGAAAGCCTTGGATGGTGGCTCCCACCGGACAGAATGGTCTGGAAGCCGGAGCTCAGGCGCAAGCTGAATATTGGCATGCTCCCATGACCGATGGTTGCGACTTCTAAGGATTTCAATGGCACCTCTCCTCTCACTGCGAGCCTACTCTTAGCAGCATGGGTGGCTTCTATCTATCCGTGAATACAGTGTGTCTGTGTGTGTTGTGGGAATGGTGATGTTGACATTGGAGGCCCAAAGCCGAAACTCAACTGCGAGCGGCGAAGCTGGAAGCGCATCAGCAGCTGACAGGCCTGCCCTATGCCCCATGACACAAGCAGCGGAGCAGAGGCTTGTTGCCTGATGTCAAGGATCTCTGGTCTGTGTGAGCCTAATCGGCTTGCCGCTTTTCAGGCTTAAACAGTTCACGGATGCGGCCGGTCTCCCTGATGCCATTAGCATAGTCCTCAGTTCAAGACCGAAGCCGAAGCCTGAACCCGAGCCCCAAGCGTGCATTTGGAAGCACGTGAGGCCAAGAGGCCGTCTCGTTGGTCAAAGCGATTTGCGAGCCTTACTCTGCGCTCGAGGCTCACCACACTTTTAAGTCGTCAATAGAGGCCCTCACCCAGCCACTGGTCCAGCTGCTCCGTCTTGGCATTGTCGGCACGATTATTGTCGAACTTCTTCTTGCGAGACCTCCGCGCTGCCCGCGCTCTGAACCCCGAGATTAGCTCGTTGCCGACGGCCCAAGAAGGACCCTGGGAGGTGAGTGCCTACCACCTCGAATAAGAAACATAGCAGCTGCGCCTTTCCAAGATCTTGTCGACGATGCTACCTTTCTTCACTTGCGAATTGAGGTCCTGTCGTTGAGCGGAATGTCCATATGCAGAGCCGAAGCTGAGCAACTACGTCGGTGGTGGCTCCTTCTCCTCCTTTGACTGCTCGCAGTAGTTGACGCATAACTCGGCAGCTTGCCGCACTCAGCATGATCAGACGCTTCCTGGCACTACATGCCCCCCGGCCTTCTTGCAGTATTCCTCGTTGCCAGGCGCTCTCTCGTTACAAATTGCAAGGCCTGGGTCATTACGTTAATGAAATGGCTGCGTCCCAGATGGTGGTTGAAGCAGAACATGACAGGAGCAAGACATGTCTGTATCCTTGCTAGATTTCACATGTGATGGGGCTCGATTGTATCAGGAGAACGAGAGAGGTGAGAAGCCTCACACCCCAACCCCCNNCCCCCCCCCCCCCCCCCCCGGTGTAAGGTGATGGGCTCACAACCCGACAGATGCTGAAATGATGCTAGGACCTGAGAGCACCAGCGAGGCCCAATGGCTCGCCCAGGGCTTGCCGGCGAACGCAGAGTGAATCCGTAGAAAGGTCAGACCGCCCTCCACTCGCAGTGCGCGACAAGTACCAGGTCTGGGCATGCAGGCATTTGTAGCTGCAGATGGAGTCGAATCTTGCCTGAGCCCACCGAATGTGTCTGGACATGTCGCGCAGACCAAAGCCCAGTGCTGAGCCCATGTCATCCCGCAGAGCGAAAGCCTCATCTGCCTGCAGCTCTGAGTCATCTAGACGTTGTTCTGCCATCTGATCGCCATGTCCCTGCCCTTGGTCCTGCCAGGCCGCGGCCACACCCAGCGCTCCCAGCATGTCCTGAGAGACAGCCAGACGAGTAAAGAAGGATGGAATTCTGATAAGTCTCTCAATCCGCTCTCATCCAGGAAACTCTGCGACGCAACGCGCCCTCTGCGCCATCCGGTTTGGAGCCCGCCTAGGCGTGGCAGGTGCAGAATACGTGTGCGTGTTTGTCTGATGTCTGCATGTTTGTCTCTGCCTGTCTGTCTGCCTGCCTGCC